TCAGTTGATGAGAGGAGGACCTTCATAAGAGTATGATAAAACTGAATAGGAATGGGGAGAGTGGGTACCCTTGACGGACACCACTCGATGAGCATAGCTCCCTGGACATCTCACTATAGGCTCTAACACGCCCACAAGTATTCGAGAACAGAGCCTTCAATAAGGTGATGTACTTACTAGGCATGCCTTTCAGTGACAAACATTGCCATAAGACTTCTCGATCAACGGAGTCAAATGCCACCTTCAAGTCGAGAAATACAGCTATTGTTGGGAGTCGGTAAGCGTGCCTATGTCCCAGCACCTGGCGCAGTGTGAATATTTGGTCGGTGCACCTGCGCCCGGGTCTAAATCCTGCCTGGTTTTCTCGGGCTTGCTGTTCCCAAGCTCCACTCAGGCATCGAGGGATTATAGAACCTAGGATCTCGGACACTATGTTTGTCAGGTTGATCCCTCTGTGGTTATCACAAGAGGACTTCTCGCCTTTCTTGAAGACTGGAATAATCAGTGATTTAGACTAGTCAGAGAGGATCGTATTTGATTCCCATATATTGGTTAACACTTCTGTTAACCTAAGAGCACCTTACCACCATCCTTATATACCTCAGGAGTTAGTCCGTCTGGTCCTGCTGCCCTTCCTCGTTTCAGGTTACCTACCGCTTTCTCGACTTCTGCTAGTGTTTCATTCGGGATCCGACTGGATAGCGGGCAACGCAATGGTTCCTGGAGGCCAGTTAAACTGTTTCTCAAAGTGTTCTGCCCATCGTTCCAGTCGTCTCCCCTAAGAGTGAATCGCAGATCCGTCCTTCTACGCTACATCCTCACTAACTGTTGTTGACCTTTTCCCCTTAGTCTCCTTAATAAGTATAAATAACTGTCTACTGTTACCACTCGCTGCTGCCTTTCCCATATCTTTAGCCTTCGCTGCCCACCAATGTTCGCGGTCGTTGCGTAGACCCTTTCACAATCTACTTTTAAGTTGCGCTCGCTTTTCATTGTACGCAGAGCTTGCAGGATTGCGTTCACATGCATCCATTAGTTCGGAAGAGGTTGCTGATATCCACTGGCTCTTTTTAGCCATTATTTAGGAGTCGGCTACGGTCTTCAATGCTGCTTTTACACCAGACTGAAGATGGCACCAAGCTTCTTCTGGATGAGTGACAGTCTTTTGTTCCGATAACTGTCTAGCCAACTTCTCACTGAAAACGGCTTTGGTGTTCTCGTTGCCAAGTTTTTTTTGCGTCCATTGAGACGCATGCATATACGTGCTCGGACCAACGCATGATCGCAATCCAAGCATGTACTTCAGAAGGAGCGGCAGTTTTTTCACCGATCGTCTCCAGCGATGACCGATAGCAATGTGGTCTATCTGTGTCCATCGCTGAGTTGAGCTCGGTGGACGCCAGGTCAGACAGTGTCTTTCCTTATGTCTGAAATTTGTGTTAGCTAAAAATAGGCGGTTATCTGAGCATAGTTGTAGTAGGCGATCACCGTTATCTGTTCTTTCAGCCGGGACTCTGAAAGTGCCACCTAAGTTCCTTCCTACCTCACTCAGTCTACCCGCCTGTGCATTGAAGTCACCTGCAACAATGCACAGGTGGGTAGACAGAGTAAAATATGGTCTGGCAACCAAAGAAAACATCAATACTTAAGTTGACTGATGATAGGTATTTTTAAAGTTATTCATGCACTTAGTACAAGTGGAGGTAATAATTAGCCTCCTTCTCATAATGTCGTCTACATAGTTTGGGAAACAAAGTTAAACTACTGCGCTGTTTACTGGCCTGATATATAACTAAAAATTACTTTGGCGAGATAGAAATAAACGAAGCATCTCGATCGATTTATGCCAATTCACAGCATCGATTGTACTTGTTAGATATGGGTAGCAATTTCAAATTCATAATGTCATGATGTGAGCCATGCTTACTACGATGACAGTTTGAAGCAGAAATCAATCAGTTAGCAAAACAAGGATGTAACAGCAGTAAGCGCCTAACACACTAACGTATGCTAAGCTCCTGTTCTAGGAAAAGATTAAAAAAAATGATCGACTCCAAAACTGTGCATTTCGCTTTCACGCTCAAAAAGAGGTGACCGACCTTCATCAGAAATCATGTTTTCTTTGCGGTTACGGCAAACGAATTTATTTTCGGATACTTCAATAAACATCAACTTTCGTTTGAGGAGTTAGGTTGTATTATTATAATATTATTATTTGTCCCTTGGGTTCCTAATGGAACATAGGGCTTCAGTAGCACTCCCAGTACCTCTCGCATGCCAACACATTCTCACGCCAGGCAGTGAAGTGAAAGACAGCTACATAAGATTAGCACCTTTAGATGCTTACAACTCTCCGGATGGGATTCGAGAGGTCATGACACTCAGCGGCTTGAGATGACAGCAGGCATTGCTCAGAATCAAAACTAGTAGCGATCATGTAGCAGGTTTCTTCTTTCTTCTAATATTGGAGGGTAAATTGAGAGTTTAAATAAAGCAAGAAGGAAATATGCGGGATAAAATGATATCATTTTATTTCACGAATCCTCTTCAGTTGCATACAGTCTAAAGGTGCAGTGGTTATTAGTATAAAATTAGAAAATCAATAATCTTAAGTTGCACAACGAAACCATTGATATTTCATATAACGTATAAGAGAATTAGTTGTAGAGGTGAGAAATGTTAGAAAGGAAAAATATTGATAATAGATAAATATTTATGTAAATAAAATGAAAATGAAACAGGATCAAATCATGTTCATCAAGGGAGTGGGAAAATAACCACCCTCTCCTTCTGTATGCAAAGGTCAGAGTAAAAGCGTTTATTACAGTCGCTTCCAAGTAATGCAGTAATTTAGACTTTTTCTGTACATTAGACTTTTTTAAAGTAATCGATATTTTAGCCTGATGTCCTGTGTCTACGAGGTATTTGACGATTGTATTGGTTAGAATTTTACTTCCTTTCTAGGACTGAGAGGAGGGCGTCCATTCCTTTCACTGAGCATATCCCCAAGAATCCGTGCTTACAGATTTGGTTAGATGGAAATGTAACTCATACACCTACGATCCAATTTGGAAGCTGTTTGGCTTTGTGAGTGTGCTATTCCTGAGGTCTAGTCAGATATTCGACAGCTACGTAACCTAGGATTCTAGGAACTAAATTAGTGTTATGAACTGAAATACCAAACTATTACGATGCAATCGCTGAATTAACCAAGTGAATTTCTGATCTAGGCGACAAAGTTAATGAATAGAACATAGGCAGGGAGATAGATCAAAATAGAACCTGACACAAAAGCGCATAAGTTTAAGTTGCCTTGTTACATAAATGAGACGAAAAAGCGGATAGGAAGAGCAATATTAGAGTAGACAAGTGTGAGAGTATTAAAACGGTTAACTTTAGTTGTACTGTTCAGATTGCTGTTAAAGAGTGAGCCCGTGCTATAGTTATCTATTTCCAGACATCTCACCACGATTCTTCAACAAGTGATGCTTATTACCTCGAAGACTCCAACTAGCCAGATGGAAAGCAAAACTGTCAACAGATTCACCTAGAGCGATCAACAACAATAAACTAAAATTGCATGATAGCAACAGCGCCTGCAACAGCATTGATGGATTGGTCAATGGGATGATACTGAAGTAGGTACAAAATTAATTTCAAAATGACAGATCTGAAACATTGGGCATGTTGTATGATCTGTTAAAGTGAGACCATAGATTTGCGCACATACCAATGATTATTTGCAAAAAGTGTGATGAGGTGACTCAACGACTACAAAACGTTAACTGCTTTCTAAAATATACCTGTTGTTGGTGAAATACCACCACTGAAGCTCGGATGATTTGCGTAAGTGTTGAATTAGTTCTCGAAGTAAGCCGAATAACTATAAACCTAATGTGAATTTGAAGTGCTACGAAGTTGTCTATGCTGAATTAGTCGGTGTCACGTTCGAACTCATTTTTCAATGGTCAACAGCAGATTTGATACTGGAGTGTCTGATAACTGCTTTTTTCTTTGTTGTCGAGAGGTAACAACTTGAAACAATGCACGATGATTTCTCTAGAGATTAGAAATAAGACTGGTAAGAATTTTGTGATTCAAATAAACATCTCATATGCTCGTTGTTGTGGGTCACAATGTTGACTCAAGGATAGGTATCAGACATCAGTGGAAACACTTGCAATTGGATTCACAAAGTTACAGCTGGGAACATGTACTTGTTAGGGTGATTCGCTTCTTTCGAACTCCTTTATGACCAAGGGATCCGTAGGGAGTGGGGTGATGCAGTTTATTGGAATCAGCCATTTACTCTCAAGAAGTAGGTCCAGGGTTCGGATCCATCTCTACTTGGCAAGCCAGGTAGCGCCACCACTTAACAAACATGACGTAGTAAACTAACTGTGTTGAAGGAATGAACTATTGATGTCGTAAAGTGCTGGTATAATCTATGCTTGGACGAAATTTAAAACTGAATTCTTTTGGGTTTTTTTTACATTCAGATGGTAAAATATATACAATGTGATGGAAATCATGTTTCTAAAGACCTTTACGACAAACACCGAAGTGCAAGAGCAACTGTTCTCCCCATAACTGAAGTCTTCAGAAATACATGAAGTATACGCTTTACAAAACGATAATATTCGTCAGTCTACGAAATTCATACTCCCTTGCAAAATGAAATAGGTGTAAATACCCACGTATAGTCCTTATGTGCTTACTGGTACTAAAAGTGAAAAGTAAGACCCAGTTTCGAATAACAAAGTAAGAACAAAACCTACTCACCCAAAAAAATAAGTAAATAAATGAATACAGTTAGCTTATGGCTTATTCCTACAGAAGTAACACGGCTTCTGACTCGGACGCTAATGCCTAACGAATTTGCTTCTAGCCAAGAAAGAGTGGATGGCGTATACGTCATTAAGTGGGACTGTAGACTGTAATTAAACCATATGACGTAAACATGGAACGTAAGTTTAATTCACTAATGTACAGTTGCTTACCTGGAGAGATCTGGAAACATGGCGAATGTGACATGTGACAGAACTCATATTTCCAAAGACCTTGACGATAAACACCGAAATGAGAGAGTAACTGCTCTAGTTTTGAGTGCGAAAAATTTGAAGCTGTTGTTACTTTATTTATAAACAGGAAAGCAGCATTACTAACTTGGAGCAAAATTAAAAGGCAACATTTGGAGTACGGGCTCGAAATCCATGAAGTCTTTCATCCTGCTACACCACAGTTGGTGACTGTGATCGGGATTGTTTGGAGATTCCCAGTCCACTGTTCTGCATTTATCGCTGCAGTAGAATAAAGATTTACACTGGGGACTATTTGAAGTATACGAAACGCCCACCAACTATACCAGTAGATTGCCTGATCCTCGGAGACTTTCTCACCACAAACACTGCAACAAACTGAACAAGACTCCATTTCAGCCTGAAGATGACCTTCAAACAAAATATAGCGGCTGAAACTGTCCTATGTATCCAACTGTTGGTGTCAGGATAAAGCTTTCACTTAGCAAGCTCCCATGGTTAGCAGCCTATGAGTAATCCGAATAAATGTAAAACGTTCGCAGTTAAAATAAAAAGAGGAAGTTTGCTGTGATTGGAATCACGTCCAAATCACCACTGGGAGTCCAATATCCAATATCTTTAAACTAGCTAGTGTAAACCAATTGATTTCTTCGCGCTAGCTTCTAGTTCTTGCGGAACGGTTCCACTTATTCGGTGGACTCCAATGCAGTAGGTCTGTAGCGTCACACACTTCCCCAAAATCAATAGCCTAGGGTTTGACGACTTTTGACATTGATGCTGACCTTGAGAGTTTAACTGGACTCGCTAAGCTGAAGGCACCCGGTCAAGCATCCTTGGCACTTGGCACGCTATCATACTACGTTGCACTGCTCGTATTCGACTCTCTAGCCAGTGGGTTGGAACGCTTCGGTATATTGGCACAACCATCCAAATATACTATTCCATCCGACTACGCTATCGTGTTCTTCCTTGGTCTCATATTCGTGGTTATATAACAAGTCCGAATGATTAGTGATTGGTCTTTGCGTCTGTCAAGTTCTCACCAGGACAGATCCTAAAGGTCTACCCGTTTGGCTGCTGCAGCTCCGGTTAGCCCGACGGGCGGTTGGGTGTTGGTTAAATTGTAGACAGTGTTGTTTGTTTGTTTTTTTCTTCCGAGGACTGTAGTGCAGATGGGTTCCTCAAATGTCATGCAAGCAGACAATTGGTCGGACTGGTTGTAAAAAGGAGATGGGAAATATGTGCAGAGAAATCAAGGGGGAGAAAGTGCAGAGAGAGACAAAATAGAAAAAAGAAAGAAAAGTAATAAATAAAAAGATCAGGAAAAAGGAAGCGGCACGGAAAAAGAAACATTGGAGGGTTCATGAGGAACAGGTGATAGGGAGAGCTTTTTTAAAGTTTGAGAGGGTAAAACCAGAGGAAAGAATAATGAATAACACGACAGGGCGAACGGGAATGTGGTAATTCTTTTGGTAGGAGACGGTAACTAGGGGGGACGTCTACAGGAAGTTATAAGGTTGAGCCAAGTTCTCAGTGATAGTGGTTTTACAGAGTGTTAAGTAACGGTTGGTCGTACTGAGTTAGTAAGTCGTGTCAGCCTAGTCCACATCCCAGTCGGATGAGCGCAAACCATGCTTCGCTGCGTAACTGTCCAACCTCTTCTTGAAGCTGTCAGCAGACGGAGCAGTAGCAATCTCGACAGGCAATGCATTCCAGTGGCCGCAAACTGGCAGAGAGAAGAAGTGTGATCTCACGCTGGTCTTCGCTCTTTGGTAGGTGATTCTCCTTGGGTTACCACGAGGATCGCCATAGTGGCTGTTCTGTAGGATTCCACTGACTTGGGTTACTAAGTATTTTGTAAGCCGTCATCAGGTCACCAAGTAATCTGCGGTAACTTAGAGGGTAGAGCCCTAGATCTTTCAGCATGTCACGATGTGGCTTTCGCCTCATTCCCGTGACACCCTCTGTAGCTCACCTTTGGACTTTTCCAGGAGGTTCACGTTTCTTTTCAGATATGGTGGTGTAATGACGTTGTGTACCTCTAGGTGGGGTCGCATATAGGTCTTATACAGCTTCATAAGGAGTCACGCTGGGCTCTAAAAGATTCAAGTGAAGTAGCGGAGTGTGCTTCCACGGAGAGAGGGTTCTGTTTTAGCGTGGAATAGCGCTGCCAAAACCTTCGTCAGTAGCTGCAAACCTCTAGAGCATTTTTAAATCAATCGTCCTACTTCGAAGTTTAGGTAAAAAACAGGTGAGTCAACGTATAAGTATCAGGTTGATCGAGGGGAGGAAAACTCAGTAGGATATAAATCTGTACGAGCTTTAGAACATATGAGGCCATTGTCGTATACGCAAACCCCGTATTTGTTGGCGCCGCTAATACACTTCCCGTTATATCACCGCTTTTCCCGTAACGGAAGTGAGCTGGCTTTAAGGGCAGACACTGGTTGTCGCGCAAGTGTACACCTATATGTAGCGATGGTTATCTAAGGCCTTTCCAAGAAGTCAACAAGTGACAACAGAGGTTATAAAAGGTGGCGACTGAAGTGCACAAAACATTCACAGTTTCAACAGCTCTCAGGAATCAGAAGTTCCACCTAATGCACAGTCCGTTGTGTTCGAGGCCTCGTCCGCGTCCTTCCTGTGAGATTCGTGTAACAACTAAGTTTCAGTGACTCACAAGGTGGGTGTCAAGCGTTGTTTAGGATGTCGTAAGTTATTATCGAAACCCCTCTTAGTGGTCTACACTGCATTGGATGTAGATCAAAAACTACCTATTGTTCCTTGGATGATCTGAGCCCGTATCCTCGAACAGATTTCCTTGAGTATCGAGCCGTCCAAAAGTTCACTTGATGGTTACTATCACTAAACTGGCAGGAAATCCCTTTCTTTCGTAGTCGGCCGAAGATTTTAGGTTTTGAGGGACCATGACTTCCAAATCCTTCTCCACTTGTGATACCCATAGTTCTGTACCACAGAGACAGCATAAGAGCCATATGCCGTCTCCTAGACGTATGAACTTATATTTTCAGGCAAAAGTGGAAGCCTGTCATTATCTGCCGACTTTTGTAGTCGGGTCCAATCATCCTGTGGGGGAATCCTACCTTCCTAACTCCTGATTTCACCGCGAAATTTCACGATGTCATTGAGAATGACAAGCCCAGGGGAAACTCGATGATGCGGGCTTGGCACATGTACTTTTAGAAGACGCTCCAGACTAATTTCTGGGGGACCCCTGTAGGACACTCAATCCCTCGGGACATGAAGGACCTCACAACATCCAATATCGATAGGATGAGCAGGTGGAACTCTTAATTTTTGAGCTCTTACTTTTATGTCCAAGGGCTCGGTTCTTTTTGTTCGGCCACACTCCTTCGGTGGTCACAGAAGTCTGTACAATTCGCCTGATTATTGCCGGAAAGGAAGTGATTATCTATCTGAAAGTGTTCTTTTTCGGAAATTAGTGGCCCCGTTCGTTTCGGATGGAGCTGCCGATAAGACCAGCTAACTTTTGGAATCCTGATTTTGTAAGCGCTTGGAAGTAGATATTGGGCATTATTTAAAAAGCAGTGTCAGAAGTGGGGAGAGCAGGGAATGGGAAAGAGCAGCGAGACTTACGTATTGAAAAACAAGTTTTACGCGTAATATGGCGAGGGAACAATTCTTGCTGCAGATACTAGGGTTAGGAAGTACAGCGGTGGATGAGCTTAGCTTCGTCTGCTATCAACGAATTTTCGTACTCGCGTTTCCTGTCGCTATTGGGTGGCTACCGTGCTGAATACCCCCAAGTTTGGTCTAATATAAGCCTCGAATTTCATGGGGAGTAATCTGGAGATGGCATTCCGGGCTGCCTTCTTAGTAAGTACATGATGCTGTTCGCCGTTGTCACCATTCTCTCATAGTCGACTTTTACCCAAGCTCTGGGGAAACGACAGCACACATATTGTGACAGCCAGTCAACGAGCAGTGGACTGACCCCGATAACCTTCAGTGTCTTTGTGAGGTTATCACGATTAATACTATCAAGCGCCAACTTTCTAAAGAGGGGTCACATTCTGAAGAACGCTCGGTGACTTCAGGGAAGTGAAGTGTTCGTGCACACGGATCGTCCTAAAGTGGACTGAATAAAAAAACTGGGACCATAAGAAGAACTGAAATCCAAATTATTAGCAAAACGGCAAAATCTAAAGGGTGGTTGGTGAGGTTTCAGCAACAAATGGTGCTGAGGAGTCTTTGGATGGGACGAAAACTTATTCAAGTTGTTGTTTCGGTTTTTAACCAGACCCACACAGTCTTCTTAACGGGCTGACTGGACCTCGAGAGGTTATAAGCACAGAAAGCTCTGACATCGTCGCTATCTCAGGAACTTTACTGGCTCCTGAAACCAATGGCAGCCAAACCCAGTCATGAGGATTCGTTCCTTTTAGAAGTCACAGGATAGGGTGCTGGGGTGGTGGGGTCATTCTTCACGTTTAGAACGCCTCAGCTGCGACAGCCATGAAAACGGTCGGACATGAAAGTGAGGGACGTGAGACACTGGGCTGTCGACTAAACTCCAAAGGAACAGGATGTATACCTAATCGTAAGTTGCCGAGGTCCCGAACATAAGGGAGAAGGTTTCTCCCTGAATAAAATGACTTCCAGAACTGACAACTGTCGATACCTGGCTTTGGGAGACTCAATCGCAACATCAGTTGGCTGGGAGTGAACTAACAACAGAACCATCATGTAACTCGTTTGACTATAGACTGGCGGAAACATCGGTTGCATTGGCAGCAATCAGACGTGATCGTCAGCATGCTGCGCAAGTTTTGGATTTAGTATTCCCGTACACAATTGACGTGCGCTACATCCGACGCCTTGCGCACACTGGCGAAAGTGATCATGCTGTGATCGTCTTTGAATCCACCGCAGCTGTCTTGTACCATGCCAACATCCCAGCCAGACCCAAACGAACCCCCACACATGACTTCTTTGACGAAAAGCAAATCACAAAAAATGTTGATACAAAACCCATCCATTAAAAATTGTGTTCAAACCAACAATCCCAAACCCCAGGAATCCCAGTTATGCATCTATGTTTTATTCAGCATTCAAGGGATTCATGCCTGCTGGCTATATTCAGGAGTTTGGAAGTTGAAGCCACCACTGACTGATTCAAAATTTGTCCTCTAATTACAGCGGTTCA